ATAGGTGCAATATTGCGTAATTTGGTTCACAGATCAAGTGAGGAAAAGTAACCAACAGAGAGAAAAAGTGGAGGAGCAGTAAAAAAAAATCCATATCCATATATTAAGTATTCATTGTATACATATATACATATATACATATAGATTTCTTTTTTTTGCTGTTATTCCTTTCCCCCTCTATTGATCTGTGCATAAAAATCAACATTTAGTAACTATTCCCTAATCATCAATCATCTTTTTTTCTCACTTAAAGGGACACTACAGCGTTTTCTATTTGTTCTGGTGAGTATACTGTAATCATTCCCTTGAGGCTTTTTGCAGTACATACTGTCAATTCAAAGTAAAGTCAGTGTTTACATTACAACCTCCACTGGCCACTTCTCAGATGGCTACTAGAGGTGCTTCCTTGGGCAAAGCTGCACAATGTGCAGTACTGCCATTCAGTGTCTCCACCCTCTGCATGCAGACACTGAACATTCCTGATAGAGATGCATTGATTCAATTAATCTCTATGAGGAGACGTTGATTGGCCAGGGCTGTGTTTGGCTTGTGCTGGCTCTGCCCCTGATCTGCCTCCTTGTCAGTCTCAGCCAATCTATGGGAAAGCACTGTGATTGGCTCAAAATACCACTTCTGATTATGTCAGCTAAGTAGGCAGAACAGGGGCAGAGCCAGCAGCAGCAGACTGAAATAAATATAAATCTTTGCTATATATAGGGGGGCAAGGAGGACCGGGGGCTAGATGGTGTTTTTAACAGTATAGGGTCAAGAATACATCTAAAATAGGTACAATATTGTTTATATATATATATATATATATATATATATATATATATATATATATATATATATATATATTTTAATTTAATTTTGGAATATTAGTTTTGGAATATTGTTTTTAAATATTTGTGTTTATGTTTTTCTTCTCAGATGTTTAGCTGATTCCCAAATATCAATTTTTGTATGGTCAAGAATACATGCTTGTGTTCCTGCCCTATGGTGTTCCTTTAATCATTTCTCGGTTCTTAGCACTGTGGAAAAAAAATTGAATCATGAGACAAACAAACATGTTTGACCATTGTCAGGATCATTTGTTTGTGATACATCCATATGGCACTTGGGAATTACAGAATTTGGACAGCTGCCAAAACAAAATCCCAGTTCATTTGACACAATGCTCACGTCTAATTCTTATATATTACTTGTAGTGTGTTAACCAACCAGTAGAGGGAGCTGGTCATGAGAGCCTAGTGCAAAAAGGGCCAAACATTAAAGGACACCTCAGGCAGGGCCAGCTTTTTGGGTGTGCCAGCTGTGTGGTCACAAAGAGCGCAATTACAACAGTGGTGCCTGGCGGCTGACACAGCTTAAAAGCAGAGACTTGCATATTGTATTAAAATTATTCCCTGGTGGTCCAATGGTGCACACCATCATGAGGTACAGTCAGACTATAATATCCTCCCCCTCGCAGCTTTGGCACTCAGTTAGTGAGTCAGAGTGCAGCCTCAGGGTTTCACAGCCTGCAATCTGACTCAACATTAAGCACCGGAACCGCAAAGGAGAAGTTATAATGATCTGCACCAAGAGATATGGTGCGCACCCAGTTATTCACCATAGAACCACCAGGGAACCTTTATAGACCAGCACTGGATCACCATGGACAGAGGGGGCCTTTGTAACAGGGCACTGAAGGGAAGCAGAAGCAGTTTGGAACAAGGTTGGAGATTGAGTGGCTGCATTGAAATCTAGCCTTAACGAGTTACCAGTCTTAAATATGAAATAGATTGCGCTCAGCCACATTCTAGGGGGCTGCAGACTGCTCAAAGGGTTTCATTCAGAATTACACTAAGTGTAATTCTGAAAATGGCTAGTAGACAATGACAACATACCACCATATACTCTGATTAAATAGTGAAACCCATTTCTAATATCAGAATTGATATTAGCATTGGGTTACCTTAGAGTTGGGGTTAGTGATGGGATTAGGCTTATGAAAGAGTTAGATTTAGGTGTAAGAGTAGGGTTAGGGTTAAAGTTAGTGTTAGGGTAGGGTTATGCTTATGTTGGCTGTAGGGTTAGGGTTAGTGTATAGTTAGGGTAAGGTAAGTATTAATGCTGGGTATTGGTTAATGCTGAGTATTGCGTAAGGGGTATGGTTAGTACAGCTATTAAACATTTATTTAGATCCTTGACCTATTAGGCATTTAACAATCAGGAATGATAAATAATCTATTTTGAGTTATTTTTACGCACTGGACGTGTAAAAAATATTATAAGCAAACGTTAAAAAATCCCCCCCCCCCAATTGTTTCCTATTTTCTAAACATGTTTTTCACATGTAATGTTGTGTTACATATACATATAGGAAATTAAATTACGCATTTTCTGTCCTTTAATAAAACAATATATAATATGCTGTGGGCACTTGAAGAGAAACTCTTAAATTATGGTGGAACACGTCTGACGCTCAAATTAGAGGTCTTGTTTTAGTTCAGAACATGGGCAATCGCCTTTGTCCTTAATGAGTTAATTACTAAGGTGATCGCTCCTTATACAGAACTTTGCCCTGAATAGCACCCCATGGACGTCACATTTCATACGACCAAATGAAACTTGGTTATTGCAGCGCAAGAGCTTCTAGTTAAGAAGACATCCACTAGAGGAGTGTTTAGGCTTTCCATTAAAACATTGCTGTATCTACTAAATGGCAATGTTTACAATTGAAGGGCTAAAATTAAAGAACCACTGAATCCAGACTACTTCATTGAGATGAAGTGGTTTGGGTACCTTTAGTGCTCCTTTAACCCCTTAAGACCGGAGGGCGTACTATTACGCCCTATTTTAGGCGGCTCTAAATGCCGCTGGGCGTAATAGTACGCCCTCCGGTCTTTCATTACTTACCCGGTTGCCGGCGATCCCACACCGGCGATCGCGGTTGGGGGGACTCCCAGGGAGCCCCCGCAGCAGATCTTCCGCCTGGCAGCCCCCCCGGCCATGTGAGAGTGAGGTCCTTGCAATCACATGGCCGGGATAGCTGGCTGCAGCATTGCCATCAGGGGGGCTGCCTCTAATGACAGGTAGTCCCCCTGCTGGCTGGAAATAAATTAAATTAAAGTAATAAAGTGTAAAAAAAAAATATATATATATATCAAATTACACGTAGACTGATACTGATTAAATATATATAATTATTGTTATATATATTTATATATAATATAAAAAATTAAATATGTAAATACGTAAAAAAATAAAATTTAAAAAATAATTAAAAATAAATAATTAAAAAATATATACACATAGAACAAAATAATATATATATCTATATATATATATATATGTATATATCACTATATATATATACCTATATATAAATAAAAATATTAAAAAAAAATTATATATACATATATATTCACATATGTATGTATATATATATATATATATATATATATATATATATATATATATACACACATATACTAATTCTACATGTATATTTATGTAATATTTTTACATAATTAGGTATCTTAATTAATTACAATTAGCGGGACCTGCCTGACAACCCATGCCGAAAGTAAAGGGAATTTAATTTGCTAGCACTATATTTAACCCTATAACTTTACAAGACACCATAAAACCTGTACATGGGGGGTACTGTTCTACTCGGGAGACTTCGCTGAACACAAATATTAGTATTTCAAAACAGTAAAATGTATTACAACGATGATATCACCAGTAAAAGTGACTTTTTTGCATATTTCACGCACAAACAGCACTTACACAGACGATATTATTGCTGCAATACTTTTTACTGTTTTGAAACACAAATATTTGTGTTCAGCGAAGTCTCCCGAGTACAACAGTACCCTCATGTACAGGTTTTATGGTGTTTTCAAAAGTTACAGCGTCAAATATAAGGCTTGTGTTTCATTTTTTTCACATTAAAATTTGGCAGATTGGTTACGTTGCCTTTGAGGCCCTATGGTAGCCCAAGAATGAAAATTACCCCTATGATGGCATACCATTTGCAAAAGAAGACAACCCAAGGTATTGCAAACGGGGTATGTCCAGTCTTTTTTTTTTTTTGTAGTAGCCATTTGGTCACAAACACTGGCCAAAATTGGCGTTTTTTGCATTTTTCACACACAAACAAATACTAACGCTAACTTTGGCCAGTGTTTGTGACCAAATGGCGACTAAAAAAGACTGGACATACCCCATTTGCAATACCTTGGGTTGTCTACTATTGCAAATGGTATGCGATATGGGTGTAAATTTCATTCCTGGGCTACTATAAAGTCCCAAAGGCAACGTAACCAATCTGGTGAATTTCAATTTCAAATGTAACGTGCTATATTTGACCCTGTAACTTCCCAAAACGCCATAATACCTGTACATAGGGGGTACTATTTTACACGTTAGACTTTGCTGAATACAAATGTGTATATTATTGCAGTAAAAGCAAACAGTATTATGACATTGACAGTTAAAATGTCATGTAGAACTAAAAAAAATTAAAAAAATCTTATTTTCTCCCATTTTTTTCATATTAAATGGTTTCCTTTTATAATACTTGATATTAAATGAAAGCCATGTTTCCCCTGAATAAAATGATATATGATAAGGGTGGGTGCATTTACTATGAAAGAGGTGAATTACGGTTAGACATACATGTAGTGAAAATGCCAGGTTTTGTATACATTTTGTTTTGTTCACAACTTGTACATCTGGCTCCGTCCTTAAGGGGTTAATGTTAAAGAAGGAAAACAAATGCTCCAAAACAGCCTCAGTCATGAACAAACAGAAATTCAGAAAATTGTCAGGCAATAAGGCACTTTTAAAAATAATTCTAAACTCATCTCTTGACAGAGAGATAGAACTGGTGAAAAAACTGGTGAAAGAACATACATATTATGTAACGTTATTTTTAGTGAAAACCCACAGTTAATAACTCTAGTCTTCCACGTTTCTGTGCTGGTAGTGAAGCTGGTAAAACCACAGAAACTAACTCTCGGTCTTCAAACACTGTCTGACCTAAGGTACATGGTACTTATCATACCTGTCGTACTACCTGTCTGTCAGAATTACCCCATATTATTGTCACTCAGATCGGCATTACCCGTATGACTTCCGGGTTTTGCTGATCCAACTCTGCCCATGCGTCTGACATCACGCACTTCCCTGTCAAAAGGATGCCACGGCCGCATTCACAAGGTCAATCAATTTGACACTTTAAAATTTTGCTACTTTGTTGCCAATTGCCGACAGAGCTCCTTCTATTGATCACCCGTGTACTGAACCTCTGCTACCTGATCCTGACTACGCTGACTTCTTCACTCCCAGACTCGGAACAGACTTGACTACGAATTCCTCTTATCCTCAGTATACTGCAGGGATCCTCAATCCTCATTAACAAGGACTTCCATTCTCATCATCCAAAGGAATCAAGCTAAATTCTTCAGTTAATAGGATTAATAATTGGATCATACCTTATAGTTATTTTGAAGGATATAGGGAATACTAATATCTGCCCTCTGGGATTCAATTACTTCTTATTTGCACTACTGAAACTTCAATTACAGCTGATTGCTCTTTCCTAATTTGTTTCATTTATAATTGTTGTACTCTAAAAGGACTATAACCACTATCCAAATCAGGATCTATTTATTTAACTTAAAGGACTGTGTTACTTCCCTAAAACAGGAATGACCCGTTTCTCCTATTTTCTATTTAAGTCTAATGAACTGTATTAATTATTCCTAATCAAGAAGTTACCATATTTTATTTTTTGCTATTTGCATACCATTTTTCTTTGAAGCAATTCTAAGCAACATTACCATTGCTAAATGCAATATTCATTTCAATTTATATTGCTCCTGAGATTGTTAAAAATAATTTAACTTATTTCAATAAATCAAACTTTCTTAAAGTAACAGTATCAAATGTATTCTTTCACCTGCAGTTGAGTTCCAAATGAGTTCCACAAGCAAGGAGCAGTGATGTGCATTGTGTTACTGCAACTTTCCCATTTTCAGCTCATTTCCCTCTAGACCTGATTTCATACTTCCAAATATCGAGGAAAGAAATTAAAGAAATTAAAGCAAAATCAAGTATAATCATTTTTAAAAATGCATATTGGTAAAAAAATAAACAAATAAATTAAAAATCCAGCATAACTAACTGAAACCTAAACCCTGCATTGCACCTGATATGGGGGGGAGCCTGGAATGCCCCTTTAATGTCTGATCCTAATATTCCTGGGACAAGCACACTTTCTACGTATGTATACCTGACCATTTTACATGTTTTAGTATAATCAAGTAGCAAGGGAACTGAGGGGAGGTGTTCCCCGTATTCTCCTCTGTTATGCTGTACACATCCGATACATTTCCACTTAAAGGCCCCATACTGGGCATCCCTTATCCATCTGGGAAAACCACATCCTCCTTGTTATGCCTCCTTTAATCACGACGGAGCCTGTAACCTTATAGCCTACGTGATCTGACAGGGAGATCCTTGAAGCAGAAAACATTTATGTATTTTTAGGGTATGGCTCCGACACATTAACCGATGCCTTCTTTCTCAATAAGTACTTTCTGTCTGATTTTTAAGGTAACATTTTTTTTTTCCTCATGGGGTTTCAATACATTAGATAAAAAGCCCCCTCAAAGAGGAAGTGGCCCATTACAGGCCTAAATTAAGACCCCAAAATAATTAGCTCTCCACAGGTAGTGCCCATATCAAAAGCAGTGATCCTCACATCCCAGCAGACTCCGTGGGCGAAAAGAGCCTTGATCAATACCCGCTTGAGTTTCATAAAGTTATCTATAGAAGGAGTCTAATTTGAACCACATGTGTGCTGAATTTTATTATCAGACTTTGAAAGCTAAAGATTTGCTCAGTGAACTGACCTTCGTCCTTAGGCAGCAGACCCCCTCTCCACCTAATGAAATAATTCTATTAGTGCATCACAGGCCTCTGTTTGCTCGAGTCATTTAACTGCAATAATGTCTCTCCGGATTCACATAAAAAGATAGAAGAAACCTCTGCAACAATGTGGAAGGACATGTAAGTCTGTATATATACATTCTTCATTGAGTAACTTCATTGGGAAAAAAATCAACAAACGAACAAAAAATTATTTACCTTAACCTTTGTGACCTGAGAGGAACTATGTAGAACTATAGTGAATAAGTTAAGTCAAATGGGGAAAAATTAAGAGAGCATATTGTGGTGTCCCAAAGGTTACACAATAATTTCTTGTATGCTTGTCAACGTTGTAGCTGATATCTAGAACTGGAACTCGGCAGAGGAGGAAATCTCAAAAAAGTATTTCTTTTTAAAAGGCATCTAGTATGTTTTGAGGAAAGTCACAAGTAGTGTTGATTTGATCTTTATGGTATTTTAACTGGAATAAATGTTTTGAATTTCATTAAACACACACATACACACATGTAGTTTGTGTATAAAAGGTTAGGATCACATTACTATGCCAAGTAGCTTTCAGCCATGCTTGACCTAGAGACTCCCACTTAAAGCCAGCACGCGTATATGCAGCAAGCCAGATGTGTAGGTAGAAATTTAATAAAGATTAAGAAAAAAAATTGGCAATGGGCCTCTTGGTATGGAGGACAAGTAAATGATGCAGGAAGAAAGACTGAAATGAACAGCCAGGACATGCAGGACCTCAGTAGAACCCAACATAGCTGACTAAGATTGTATCCATCCCATGCAAGAGAGCTTCTGCAGTACTCTCTGTATGGGCAGCAATGATTTGTAGGCTGGCATGAGCGTCTGCCATGTCAATGTGCACAAGCAAGAAGCAGTGATGTGCATTGTGTTACTGCAACTTTCCCATTTCCAGCTCATTCCCCTCTAGACCTGATTTCATACCTCCAAATATCGAGGAAGTTACATTTGCTTGTCATATTAGTGCACAAATGCACGCTACATTATTGAATGCAAACTGCTATGCTGGCAAAATATGCCAGCCAGTTATTTGTGATCATTGTAGTGACATGTTTGGGAAATGTTTTGTGTTTTATTCGCCATGCAACTTGGCCTTAGAATTTTAAAATGCCTTGGAGTGGTGGAGATGCAGCAACCTGAAATTCGATGCCAAAATTGATATACTTTCAGAGTATGTATTGACATAGCACTACAAACCTTTGTCTCGTCTGGATAAATCTTCCAGTAGAAAAATAAAAGCTGCCCTTTAGCAGAACATACTATACAACAAAACAATCTACAAAGTTGTAGAATAGCTAAGCTATATTAATTAGACGTGGTAAAATCAATTTCAGGTCCTGCCCAAGCAGTAATCACTTTGTTCCAATGTGTTCCACTTTAGGGATACCAGACAGGGAACTGTTGCCAAAAAGTGTAAAGCAAACACATCATTAGCACAGAAACAGTACTCCCTGCAAGTCCTGCCATCAGTAGGCCAGCCTAGATAGTTGAAAAGGAGCCTGGCATGCATTCACACTTTGGGCTGCCCCCCTTTCCACATCCCACCGGCGTCCTGATTCACCGGGCGCCGATGTTGGAAGTTATGGGTTTCTGCAGCTTTGTACATGATGGATGCCTGGGACCCTGTTACCAGGGAATGGAGCAAGGGTACTTGTGGCATCAGAACCCCATACAGTGGGCTGTAGTTAAGATGTTTGGAGAAACTGTTTAATGCAAAGTCAATGTGGCATTGAGCAGTGCCTAGATATGAGCCAGCCAAGGTAATATTTCCAATGTAATATGTAGGAAGCCAGTTTTATATATGTATAAGTGCTCTTGGTAAGCGCACCACATAAGAACTATTAAATAAATGTGTAATATTCAATCTGTGCACTTGCTAGGGATTTTACTAGTTCAATGTTTTTACATTTTATAATTTATCTGAAGATGACAGCTTTAAAGCGTAGGTCGTGAGTAACAGAGCAATAAAGAAAACAAGGTGATTAAGAAGAGGTATTTGATATGGAATAAAAGGACATTGAAGAGCTTAACTGCAGTCACGAGTCAAGTGAAATGTTCTGTGATTTTAATACCAAACTTCACTGACTGAGAATAAAAACAGCTCTGGAGATAATTAAAAATTGACTCTATAGAGCAGAGGTTTCCAAACCTTTTTCACTTGAGTACCTGCTGGCCAGAGGCGTAACTAGCAACTACGGGGCCCTGGTGCGAAAACTGCCCTGGGACCCCCCCTATACGTCTCCCCTCCCGTACGTTTCCCCCCCCCACACATGGAGACAAACAGATACACATGCAGGCACACACACAGAGACACACACATACATGCAAATACACACACATACAGACATACACACACACACACACACATACATACACACATACAGACACAGTGAACAGACATACAGACACAGTGAACAGACATACAGACACACACATACTGTTTGTGTGTGTGTGTGTGTGTGTGTGTGTGTGTGTGTGTGTGTGTATGTATGTGTGTACACATACACACACACAGACACACACAGACACACAGATGCACATACATACAAACAAACACACATACAGAGGAACATGCATACAGACACACATACACAATCACACACACATACATACAAACACACACATATACAATTTTTTTTTTACTTTCCCTGGGTTCCATTGGTGGCTCAGCCTACTCTGACTCCCTCCTTTCCTTTCTCTACCTAGGCTCTCTGTATGTTGGCAGGAGTGACTGGGGCAGTCACTGCCTCCCAGCCTCTGATGTCATCACAGGGGGCCCGGTCATGCTGTTAAACCCCTGCAGTGCTGACCGGGCCCCCTGGAAATTAATTTCCATAAGGTGGCCTTAAGAGCAAGGGCCACCCAATGGACTCCTGAACGTGCGGCCCCAGCGGTTCTACTGCGCGGGCCAGGGCCTGCAACACCCCTGCGACTGCAGTAGTTTGGCCACTGCCCCTGGCAGCACATTTTCATAAATTGTACCCCTCATATTAGCAAAATATAGTTGCTGTTATTTTAAATTTATAAATTTTTTTGCCCCATCTCCCCCTTTTCTCTGCCCCAGCCCCCCCTGCTCCTCTTCTGCCCCAGACTCCCCTGCTCCTCTTCTGCCCCAAACTCCCCTGATCCTCCTCTGCTCCAGGCTCCCCCTGCTTCTCCTTTGCCCCAAGCTCACCCTGCTTCTCTTCTGCCCCAGACTCCCCTGCTCCTCTTCTGTCCCAGGCTCCCCCTGCTCCTCCTCTGCTCCAGGCTCCCCCTGCTTCTCCTTTGCCCCAGGCTTCCCCTGCTCCTCCTCTGCCCCAGGATTCCTCTGCTCCTCCTTTGCCCCACTGTCCTCCTGCTCCTCCTCTGCCTCAAGTCCCCTGCTCCTTTTCTGTATCAGGCTCCCCCTGTTTCTTATCTGTCCCAGGCTCCCCTTGCTCCTCCTCTGCCCCAGGGTCCCCCTGCTCCTCCTCTTTCCCAGGGTCTCTGCTCCTCCTCTGTCCCAGGGTCTCCCTGCTCCTCTTCTGCCCCAGACTCCCCTGCTCCTCATCTGCCCTTGGCTCCCCCTGCTCCTCTTCTGTCCCAGGCTCCCCCTGCTTCTCCTCTGCTCCAGGCTCCCCCTGCTCCTCCTCTGCCCCAGGATTCCTCTGCTCCTCCTTTGCCCCAATGTCCTCCTGCTCCTCCTCTGCCTGAAGTCCCCTGCTCCTTTTCTGTATCAGGCTCCCCTTGCTCCTCCTCTGCCCCAGGGTCCCCCTGCTCCTCCTCTGTCCCAGGGTCCCCCTGCTCCTCCTCTGTCCCATGGTCTCCCTGCTCCTTTTCTGTACCACGCTTCCCCTGTTTCTTATCTGCCCCAGGGTGAGATTTTTGAAGAGTTCTTTTCTAAAACATGATGCAAAAATGCAAAGGAAAGGAGTCACCAATGGAATGTGCCTGCTGGTTCCCCTGGTTTCCACGGTGACCACTTTTTAGAAAAAGAACATCTAACGCATATTAAATCTTCTATCCCTACAATCTTTTGCACGTATATCAATTTATTACTATGAGTGGCTTTGCAAACACCCAGTGTTGCCTGCCAGTATAGTCCTATTTAACTATAAGATGAATATATATATATATATATATATATATATATATATAAATAAATAAATAAACATATATACACACATTTATTAAACACAGATCTCTATACCAGTCAAGACTTTCTTTTCCCACAGAAATCTCAAATTTGCAGTAATGTTACTACTGCAAGGGATTCTCCCAGGCCTCTTAATAAACATACCACCTGAAGTCAGTGGATAGTCAATACATTGCTTGCTTTTTCCACAGAAATCTGAGATATGCAGTGATGTTACTACTGCAAGGGATTCTGGGTGGGCATATGCAAACCATAGCTTTTTTGATTTGTGCTCCACAGGTACCACCACTAGCAAGCCTGTAACCAACTTCATGCTGAGGAGTTGCATTAACAACGAAACCGCTGTCCATGAGTAGTTCACTGGCTTTTTTCCTTTTCCTGAGTTGTGTTTCAAAGCTGTTGTATACCAAAAAATTAAACAAGGAATCCATGTTTAAAATGGAATAATGTGTCAAAAAGATAATTATATGTTGAGCTAATTTGCATATACCCACCCAGAATACCTTGCAGTAGTAACATCACTGCACATCCCATTTCTGTGGGAAAAGCAGGCAATGTATTGACTATCTGACTTCAGACACTCTCCTGAAGTCAGTGGATAGCAATCCATATTATGTGCAGATGTTTCGGTACACTTAAGGATGATCTGTTTCATCTCCATTCATAGTGAGTAGTTTCTGGGTGACCAGTTCTTCTTGGTCAGGTACCTGGCATATATGTTGATGGCTTGTATCTTGTTCTTGCCATTCAGCTGGGACATCAGGACCTGTCTGGCTCTTTGGATGTACTTGGATGTTGTTATCCTCCTTGCCACTTACTCATGGTTTCCATGCGTTTCTGGTAACCCCAGGTACTTGTAGCAGTTCTCTACATCTTCTATTTGCCCTTCTGGAACTTGAACTCCTTCTGTCCTGATTATCTTCCCTATTTTTGCTATCACCCGCCCACACTTCTCTAGTCCATCCATACTTCCCACATATGTTTTATGTAGTCCCTCTAATTTGGTCTGCTGTTTCAAGCATGTCTAGGCTCTCGTTTCGTGTCCAGGAGTGGTTGCATAATGCATAATGTCAATAATGCTGTAGTATGGTACCCCATTATATGTATCAGTGGTTAGTGAGGTTTTCCAGATCCACCATGCCTAAATATTGTGCTCCATTTTTAGTAAAAATATGATGGAAGACCCCTCATTTTTTTCTCAGCTTGTAAGAGTAAAGTAGGTAGAGATAATATAATTATATTTCATATTTGTAGGGCCACATAATCATTAGGTTACCTCTCCCTAGTAGAGTTATGGGCAGAAAAAGAAATCCCCAAAACGAAAAACTGTTATAAAATAAATTAAAAAAGCTATGCAAATGGTCAAGATGAAAGTTAATCCATGGCTTCCCAAGAACATTTTAGAAGAGTTGTGATGCTTGGGGTTTGGATCCTCTCTCTATTTACACTGAACAAAATTATAAACGCAACACTTTTTGCCCCCATTTTTCATCTAAGATCTAAGACTTTTTCTATGTACAAAAAAGGCCTATTTCTCTAAAATATTGTTCACAAATCTGTCTAAATCTGTGTTAGTGGGCACTTCTCCTTTGCCGAGATAATCCATCCACCTCACAGGTGTGGCATATCAGGATGCTGATTAGACAGCATGATTGTTGCACATGTGTGGCTTAGGCTGGCCACAATAAAAGGCCACTCTAAAATGTGCAGTTTTACTGTATTGGAGGGGTCCGTGGGGGGGGGTCCGAAAACCAGTCAGTATCTGGTGTGACCACCATTTGCCTCA